ATACAGCCTGTCACCAGATTTATTTTGAAAAATAACAATTGTTGTAACATTATTCTTTCGTTGGCGGGTTCTTAAATTATCTGGTGAAAATAATATAAAGTCCATTCCACGTAAACGATAACAAATTAGTTTATTTCTTTCTTAACATTTTTACAAATTAACTTTATTGTACACAGTTTTAGGTTATGTTTACATATGATGCTAACTGCACTATATTAAAGTAAGCAATAGACTTATCTGTATCATTCGCGGCTAAAAAAAAATTAACAAAAAACTACTAAATGATTCACTCTACCGGCTAAAAAAAAACGACTCCACTATCTCGAAACAACCTCTTTAATTATCTCTCAACTATCTTTATTTAAAATCTACCTTCAAAAACATGACATTAAATCTTTACAACTTTCTAGGCCTTAACGTCATCATTATGACTTGCAGCTCCCTCTAGTTAAGAACCTAAATTACAATATTAAGAAATATAGCTTACAACACTGCCCTTTTCGTGGGTTGTGAATCCATTCAAACAATCCTTATACGAAAAATTGAACACCATACTAAACTGTCAATACACCAAGTCTTTTCCGTGGGGGCCTGGTATGGCCAGGTCGATAGGGTGCGCAACTCGAACTCTGCAGGTCGCGGGTTCGAATCCCCGTCCAGTGATCGCTTTTCAGCCAAGGAGGCGTTATAATGTGACGGCCAATTCACTGTTTGTTGATAAAAAGAGTAGCCCAAGAGTTGGCGGTAGGTATTGATGACTAGCTGCCTTTCCTCTAGTCTTTCACTGCTAAATTAGAGATGGATAGCGCAGATAACCTTCGTGTAGCTTTGCGCGAAACTCAAAACAAACAAAACCAAACTTTTCATGGTTTTCTCTTTCAAGGTATACAGATGGGATAGCATCTTGTCACTGGAGGAGTTCTTTATAGGTAGATGGTCAAGTGAACCCATTGGTTGCTCCGTCCTTGATGATGCTTTGAAAGTAGTCTTGACAGAAACTCCAGGCTCCTCTACAGGTTGAGGTTCCATTGACAAGTTCTTCTCTGGAGTAACCTAGTTGGCTATTCTCTCACCGATGTACTTTCATAGACGATCATGGTGGATTATCTTTGGCTTGGATTGCCTATCCTCCAAACACTTATTTAACTTCAGAGTTTGTTCTCTCTTTTGCGATGAGAACTGTTCAGCCATATCATATCTCCTTGATGAAATCCAGTTTTATCAGCATTGACATCATAGTGACCTTTCGTTTTATTACAAATTGATTTAAGTCTTCCCTGAGTAACGCCATGTACGACATATTTATTCTTCACATCTAGGAGATTTCTTCCAACCACTAATTCCTCAGCACATGTCAGAGTATTTGGTTCTATTATGTCCCAGTCACTGCTATTGCAAGTTATTACTAATAACTCATGGTATGAGTATTTCACTTCTTGGTGGTTCAATGACCATCTTCCCTGTTGTCACTGAAGGTTCAACCTCAGGTGTAGCAACTTTCATGTAGTACATAGGGATTTTCTTGTCATAGACTGTGAAGCTAAAGAAGCTAGCTTGACTTCGCGTTCATGTCTCTGCAAGAAGGCAGTTCCTAATATGCACTCTTCTTAGATGTCAATTACCCACACATGAGAGATAGAGAAGCTTCCTACAGTAAGAACAATCTCCAACGTCTTTTTTCCTGAAATTTTATGTCCACTTGCTATTTGCATCAATCCCTCTTTTTTCTTCGTCTCTGATGACAATTTCTCATTTTTCATTAACAAATTGGGTCGAACAATAGTAAATGTAGAACCAGTGTCAAAATACTGCAAAGTTTTCCATCAATAAGCCCATGGACTCATGGACAAGTTTCTCATTTGGGATAGATAAAGCATTTCCACCTGAACTTGGCCTCATAAATCCAACTAAATCCCGTTTCTTGATGTCTCGTTAGATCTGTGTCGTTCCTTTGATTTGGTTGGGCTCTGTCTCTTTCGCTTTTGGGCCCGGCATGGCCAGGTGGTTAAGGCACTCGACTCGCAATCTGAGGGTCGCGGGTTCGAATCCCCGTCACACCAAACACGCTCGCCCTTTCAGCCGTGGGGGCGTTATAATGTGACGGTCAATCCCATTATTCGTTGGTAAAATAGTAGCCCAAGAGTTGGCGGTGGGTGGTGATGACCTGCTGCCTTCCCTCTAGTCTTACACTGTTAAATTAGGGACGGCTAGCGCAGATAGCCCTCGTGTAGCTTTGCGTGAAATTCAAAAAACAAAACAAAACAAACTCTTTCGCTTAATAATATCTGTTTATTCCTTACAATCTCGGCTGTAATAGCCAGGTTTCCTACAGTTATACAGTTACCTCTTTCTGGTATCCCTTGCGAGCTCTTACTCAACATAGGCCTTTGCCTGTAGTTTCTGGCAATATGTTACTCTTAAAACATCTATTGTCACGTGGTTTATTTCCTCTATTCTGTTTTCCTAGTTGACCAACTAATAATTTAAATTCCTCTATATTAATGATAGAGGGAATTGATGTTTCAATACTACAGTATATAATGTTCCAATAACACCTAGGCAGAGCCATTAGTAGTTTATCTGCAACTTTGATGTATTCTAGTTCCATCACCAACTACAGAGCTTCCTTTAAAGATGTAAATCTACTTTCCTTCAGCCTTATTCTCATATCCTCATACGCTACGGCATCTATAAATTGATCACGTGGCAACAAATCCGCTATTTCACGAGAAGCACCTAGGTAAGATAATTAAGGAAGCCTTTCAATATCTTCTGCAAGTTCAACTATAGTTTATTCTTTCCTCCTTATCCCGTTCTGGAATTTTGTTCTGGACACTTATTTCTGGTTTGACACTAAACCTGTTGGATAAAGTGGCTACCAATGTTTGATACTTGTTACAGCTATCAGCTGGAAGGGTACTTAATGTTATCAAAGCTAATCCCTTCAAATGGGCGGCAAGATGGATGGCTTGTTGATCACTATTCTACCCATTGACTCTAGAAATGATTTTTAATTGAGCCTGGTATGACTCCCATGGCAACTTCTTATCATAGTTCATTGGTTTCTTTATTGGCTGATGTTAAACTGGCCAGCCAGAACTGTATTTGGTAGTTTCATGGCTAGAGTAGTCCAGGAAGGTACTTCAGTAACAGGAGTTACAGCAGTAGTTTTATTCTGTAACTGCTGTTCTTTTCTACTTCGTTGATGTCTTTCTTTATTTCGTCAATTCTGTTATTACAGCCTTGCTGGACTTCTACTATTTTGTGATTACATACAGACTATTCATACTTATTATACGTTATTATTGTAATCTCTCTCTATATCTCCAATAGTTTCATTGATCCTGTCTACAATCACATATATTTTTTTTTCCCTTAGATAGTACGTCTCTTTTGTAACTCCTTTCTTAAATTCCTGTCTCTTACCTCTTCATCCTTTATTTTTCTATCTTTTCCTTCTGGGTCCTCTTTTAATTTTTTGTAAATTTCTTCACTCTCAGTTCTTGATCTCGCGGTCGCTATCTTTACCGTTGAAGTTCAATTCAAGTATATTCAAAGTTCCATTTTATTTTCCCTCAAATAACCCCACTTCTGACACTACTGTTGTAAATGTTAAAAAAATTAGTTTATTTCTTCCTTACTTATTATTCTTACAAATTGGCTTCACTATACACAGTTGTAGGCCAGGTTTACAAATGACACTAACTGCACTACACTAACGTAAAGAATAGACTTATATATTACTTAACACCTGAAAAAACAAACAAACAAAAACATTTGACTGATTTACCATACCGACTGGAAACGACTTTACTATCTTGAAACAAACCCTTTAACTATCCCTCGTCTATCTTGAATCTATAATACAAAGTCCAATCCACGTGAACGATAACAAATTAGATTATTTCCTCCTTAATATCTTTACAAATTGGCTTCACTGTATACAGTTGTAGGCCAAGTTTACAAACGACACTAACTGCACTACACTAACCTAAAAAATAGACTTAACTATATACCTTAAAAAAGGAAACATTGACTGATTTACCATACCGACTACAAAAACTTTATTTTCTTGAAACAAACTCTTTAACTATCAATTATATTGCATTTATAATCTACTCCCGAATTTACTAAAAGATTTGACGTCAAATATTTAGAGCTTCATAGGCCTAATTTTAACGTGATAATTATGATCTGCATCTTTCTATAGCTGACATTTAAATTACAATATTAAAAATATATATATATTTCACGATTGTATATACATATGTCTTAAATGACCTTGTAGAAAGTATCAATATTCCTTAAGTTTCCTAGTGAGTAATAGCGCCATCTAGTCTACACTTAACGAACTATTATGGTGACATTTTTTTTTCAATGTGGAAAATTAGAAAACCACTGATTTTGTGTGTTTCAGAGCGGTACCGGTGACAGAAATTCAAGATAGTTCGACAGGTAGGTTTCAATTTTTGAAGCTTTTCTTATTTTATAAAAACTGAGCACCAACACAACAAGTCAGAACAATAATCGTGGTTTTTCACATTTCTTCATCTGATCAGGTGCTGTAAGTTACAATTAATGTAGTAAATATGGAAACAATATATGATGACCTGTGAAATGAATTAGTAGCAAACACGATGCACTTTTTTGTATTGTCATGAAATCCACAGTATAGAGTTACTCCAAATAATTTAAAATATATTACAAGTAGTATTTTCTTGGCCAGCAGATGTCAGCACACTTATCTGATCAGGCTGTAAGAAAACCTTAAAAGTACACATAGAAACGGAATGTAACCTTGTGTTTACAACCAATATTTTTTATGCAAAGAATAAGAAACATGTTTGAAGGACTCAAATCATAAATTAACCTTTCAAAATACGATATAAATACGTAAAATTGCAGTGTGTAATGGATAATATTCAATTAATACCGCTTTTCAACCATAAACACCAGAACTATAATACTTTTGGAGGGTTTAGGTAAAACTTGTCACTTACCATTGACGTTGCTTACTCCGGTGATGGAAGAAAGACGATTAACTCCACGTGTCGTCGTAGTGTCAGGCGCTGGATTAGTTTCTATAGGGTGAAGAAGAAAGTTGGTTACCTGGGAAACTGACCTTGCGGAAGAGGTTACGGTACCTCTAACTTTACAAACAAGTGGACAGGCCAAAGTACCAGTGGAGACTGTGTGATTTGGAAGATTGGTGTTTAGTAAACCTGAGGACTGAAGGACAGTCGTCAGCAAAGAAGGGGTTACTTGTGACGACGCCCCATTAGATGGTCCCGGTGATTCAGTTGTCTCTGTTAAGAGGGAATAAGAGTTTTCAGGTGAGGTAAGAAGTCCTGAAGATTGAAGTGCTGAGGTTAAAATAGAGGAGGAGTTACTATTCACAGCTGCTACAGAAGACGAAAGTGGGATACTAGAAACATCTGTTAATGAATTGGTGAGTCCAAATTCTTCAATGGACGTCAAAGAAGAGTTAAAACAAGATGACGCTGTCAGAACAGGGAGGTTTTCTTCCGACGCAGGAGTAATTCGACTGCAGCTTGCACCACAGTCTTCGACACATTTTCTTCTCTTCCTTTTACGTGTGGAACTCTGAATCTCTTCTAGGTGAGGTTGGGACGTTAACAGCTGATTAAGGATACCACTGTTTTCTACTTTCGTTTCGATATCTGCGAAGATACCATCAAGTTCAAAATCTGAAGCTGAGAATTGTCGCATAATTTCTTCCTCTTCTTCAAGTTCGGGAACTAGGACATGTAAGTCTGTATGTGACAGTTCCTGGAGAACATCGGACTGTTGTTGGACAATGATGTTAGGTCCGCTGTCCTAAAGACAAAGTAAAGGATATCAGTTACAAAAATTACAGTAAAATGCATTACCTAGAACAGCATGCTACAAGAAATAGAAATATTAATACTAATTTATTTAATAAATTCAATAATTACATAGGTAAACATTATATTTAAAGTCTTAGACAAATCAAATATTTTTAACTGAATGATCTATGTTTTTAAGAAGAACTACGCTAACTTTATAACCTAATACATATTTTTTCTTTTACACACACACCTGTATGTGTATTAGGTTTGGTTTGTATTGAATTTCGCGCAAAGCTATACGAGGGTTATCTGAGCTAGTCGTCCCTAACTTGGCAGTGAAAGACTAGAGGGAAGGCAACTCATCATCACCACCCACTAAAACTCTTGGTCTACTCTTTTACCAACGAATAGTTGGACTGACCCTCACATTATAACACCCCTACGGCTGAAAGGGCGATCATGTTTGGTGGGACACGGATTCGAACCCGCGACACGCAGGCCCTATATGTAACGGGTTGAAATAATCTATTCAATTTAATTATGACTACAATTAAACTTAATAGTAATTACACAATATCATAAATGTCAGTTTCAGGCGTTGTTTGGAGTAACATTCTTAAATATCGGTTTCTAAATGATTATTTAACGAATAAGCTGATAACGCTGTAATCACTAATGTGGATCGCCCTTTCAGCCGCGGGGGCGTTATAATGTGACGGTCAATCCAACTATTCGTTAGTAAAAGAGTATCCCAAGAGTTGGCGGTGGGTGGTGATGACTAGCTGCGTTCACTCTAGTCTTACACTGCTAAATTAGGGACGGCTAGCGTAGATAGCCCTCGTATAGCTTTGCGCGAACTTCAAAACAAACAAACTAATGTGGAAATTTCGGGTCAGCTTGTTTTGAGTTAATTTTTTCCTTAAGATATTTATCTTATTAGTCCAGAGCTTAGTGAATATTAATAGTAATCATACATTATTATTCCTTTTAAAATAGAAGAATTTAATGGCTATCAAAAGTAACGATCTCATCTCGAAAATTTTGACTTGGACTATTCTAGGTATACGTTTTCTTGCTTTTTAGGATCGCGCTACTTCCAAGTTTTGTAACAGGTACTTCATTACCTAAGAAAAAAGTAACCACATTATTTCGAAAAGTATGTTGCGTATCTCATATACAAATACCTCAATTTGCATTGATGTGCCCCTTGTTTTTAGTGTCGCCTGTTGAGCATTTGTGAAATAAACATATTCAGTATTCATACCGTGTGCTAGTGATATCTTCGCAACTCCAACAACACTCTATAACTATAAACTAATTAGGTCATTTTCGCTATAATAAATGCTAATGTATTTTCATGCTACACAGAAGGCTCACTTCAGCAATTATGTTTGAAAATTTTCTTCGTTAAGTGCTATAGAACGACACTTTGTTACATACCACTAAATAATTATATTACTGAAAGTGTTCCACCACTTTACTCTGTACGTTTCATATTCACTTTAATTATCTAAATTAGAGAAAAATCATCTTACGATAGTTGTATATTAAACAAACTGACACTTTTTTTTCAGAATGTATTTTCTTGCTATACTGTGATGATTAATACTCACGAGACAGGAAAGATCCACCATTTTGCCATCAGCATCAGGACACCACAGCAAGTCATCGTCGACATAAGGCATCTTACCCTTAACAAGAGCTTGTTTGATGGTGGAAAATCTAAAATAATAATAAACCAGATGTAGTTGTTTATTAGCAAGTAAACATAATAAAGAACGCCTTGAACTGAGTTTTCTTCTGGCTTTTCCTGGTTTCGGGTACCATGCTAAATCATTAGACGACGTTTCGGGTACTACACTGAATAATTAGACGACGTTTCGGGTACTACACTGAATAATTAGACGACGTTTCGGATACTATGCTAAATCATTAGACGACGTTTCGGGTACTACACTGAATCATTAGACGACGTTTCGGATAGTATGCTGAATCATCATCAAATTTTCATATAACCCGAAAAGTCGTCTCGGAACTGAATAATAATAATAATAAAAAGCATGAAAAGTAGGTAGAAATCAGTCCATGTGTTGAACACACTGCCTAAAGCTACTTTAAATGGAAACTTGACTTTTTGATAATGTTTTGAGGATAAAGTATCTGGTGACTATTTCAAGGATATTCTTCAGTTAATTAGTCGGTTCGTAAGTCCAATATTCACTAATGTGAGAACCCATTTCTTAGTCATGAAAATTGGTCCAATTAAGGACTAAGCTGACTTTTAGTCCTACTTCGCTCTTTTGTTGAAACACTCACTGAATCATTTGTCTTTTATTCAACTCCTTTCTGCCAATTCGTTCATCATTTATTCGTTTTCGTCCATTTATTTGTCCAAAATAAACATCCCGAGTCGCTGTTCTCAGTTAAATATATTAGAAAACATTTGACTTTGTATTGTAAATACACAGTTTGCACTTTTCTGTCTAATATAAAATTTCGCTGTATTTTTAAAAGTTTCCAAACGACAAAAAGTAAAATAACAATGTTAAAACTTTGTGGAATGCCCCATACGCTTAGCCTTAGTAAAAGTGTTATTTATTTGGTTAACATTTATCGATATTGATTAATTATTATTGTGTCTAACGATAAAAAACTGTATATATATTGAACTAACGACCTGTCGTTTAAACTAAGCTTGTTGAAAATGACAAGTTTTAGTATCTCACTTAAATCGACCCTTTGAAATGTGTGTCTTACATATATAGTAGAGTGCTCACATGGGTATTAAAAACTTTTATTCAAAAACACGAAAACAAGTAACAACGCCCCCTACAATCTCACACCTATTATTACTGTCGTCTCCACAACTCGTAATCAATAATGGTTAGTTTTTCAAATACCATTCTTAACCTGATGTTGACTTATGGAGGTCGAAACGTTGTTACTTGTTTTTATGTTTTAAAATAAAAGTTTTTAATACCCATATCAGCCGTCTTTACTATATATATATATATAGTTATTTCAAATGGGTTCCTCTTCATCATGAAATGAGTATTTTCATGCTGTTCAAATGAAGGAAAAGTAGAGTGAATTATGCACTGAATTATATCGGGTTTTCTGTATTTTTGTTCAAGGGTACGTCTGTTTATGTACTGTAATATGTAAATCATCCTGAGTGTGTCATTTTTTCTATTTATCTGCTTTCTCTCTTTAACACATCAGAAAGAACGACGCTACACACAATCAAAAGATAACAGCAGCGAAAGGTATTGTGAGCACTGTTAAAATAAAAAGCACTAGATGGCAGCACAGTAAGTGAAACGCATATCTGGTTCAAAACGAAAATATTACGTTACACAAGTCAAAATTAGCTTATCTACATATCGACTATTCCGAGGTTTATCAAAACAATGGTTAGAGTAAGTTTGGTGTATGTATGATACGTTTTTTCTCTCTTTTGTTGTTTATCCTCTACCCTGACATTGGCAGATATTCTCCAATCAACTTAAACAGAGTAGAATCCTATCCAAGTATTGGCAGATATTCACTAATCAACTAGCAGACAGTACGTAGAATCCCACATTGGTACTTCGTATTGGCAGATATTCACTAATCAACTAGCAGACAGTAAGTAGAATCCCACATTGGTACTTCGTATTGGCAGATATTCACTAATCAACTAACAGACAGTAATAGAATCCCACATTGGTACTTCGTATTGGCAGATATTCACTAATCAACTAGCAGACAGTAAATAGAATCCCACATTGGTACTTCGTATTGGCAGATATTCACTAATCAACTAGCAGACAGTAAGTAGAATCCCACATTGGTACTTCGTATTGGCAAATATTCAGAAATCAACTAGCAGAGGGTATTTAAGGAATAAGTACCTTGTGCATATTCATAAAAAGTAGTAATAATTCAACAGCATAATAATGCCCAAAGCATTAAAGAATTAACAATATATATATATATATATATAAAAAACTCGACTAGTTTCGACAGGCCAAGATTTTTTTCTCAAGGGAAGGAGTAAACTATTGTCAGGATATTGTACATTCAAGTTCAAAATGGCCCCAGTAGGGTTAAAGTTCACTAACGGCAGTATAATGCAAAAACTAATTTGGGAAAATATAATTCTAAATAGGGTTGAGTTCGAATCCAATTTCATTATTGAGCATATTTTCTCTCTTTTATAAATGTTTTTATTGATTTGCTTGTGCTGTACTGAAGGGAGAATTTGGGTTATGACTGATCAACATGAACATTATGATTGGTTGTTGGAACACGTAATGCTGAAGCAAATTTTTCAACTTCCTTCCGACGACACTAGTATTTATGTTTCTTTATTCCAATTGAAATAGATCGTTTTGTTTGACCAATATAATCGCGATTGGAAGGAATTGTCTGTTTGTTTTGGAATTTCGCGCAAAGCTACACGAGGGCTATCTGCGCTAGTCGTCCCTAATTTAGCAGTGTAAGACTAGAGGGAAGGCAGCTAGTCATCACCACCCACCGCCAACTCTTGGGCTACTCTTTTACCAACGAATAGTGGGATTGACCGTCACATTATAACGCCCCCACGGCTGAAAGGGCGAGCATGTTTGGTGGGATGCGGATTCGAACCCGCGACCCTCAGATTGTGAGTCGAGCGCCTTATCCACCTGGCCATGCCGGGCCTGGAAGGAATTAAATAAACACCATGTCTGTGGTGGGCTTCTCTCTTATCTTCACCTTTTTTTTATTGTGCTTTTATTGTTTGTCACGAAATATAAAGCCACCTCTACCAAATTTTCAATCTTCCAGAGGATCGGTGGTAAGTCTGAAGGTTTATAATGCTAAAAACCGGGTTTAGATACCTGTGGTGGGCAAAGCACAAATAGCCCATTGTGTAGCTTAGCGCTTAACAAAAACAAACCAAATGTATCTATCTTGAAGGTATAATACCTAAGTGAACAATATCTTTTAACCTTAAATAATCTATTAAAAAATTCAGATAACATGATTAAAAACAACACAAGTCTTACAAGAAGGAGACAAATAAAACTAAGGCACAAGTTACTATGTGAGAATGGCAAATTGATGGTGTTCTAGTAAAATAAATATTTACTGAAATGAGACAAACAGCGTTGGGGATACACTGCCTATCAGGTTTAATTTGTCCACAAGATTCGCATACGAAATGAAACCAGATTGAAAGAAAAACAAACTCAAATATTAGGAATAAAATGGATGTTCAAGCCTATAACACCCCTCACTTTAACATACCAATCGCTGTCCCAAGCCAGTTGCTCCAAATGAAAAAGAAAGTATAGAAAATTAAAAAAATAGAATAAAATAAAAATCAGCCCATTACAACCCGACAACTAGGGATGCTAAGTTAATATTCTGGCTCCCATAAAAGTCACATGTTCTTCTAATATTAAAACATCTTATGCTGTTCATAAAGAAGTATCGTCATAAGAATACCTTCAAAGGACAGATTACTGTATAGCAGTCACAGTATTTAGTACTTTAATGCATTTACAAGTGTATGGCGAATTGGATTCGTAAAAGTCGAGCAAATGTTTTTTTTTTATTGTTTTTAATTCAGATGTAATTGCAATGACAAATATACCCGATAAATATTCCTAAGAGCATGCTTGATAATAGCCGTGACTCGTGAGACGTATGAAAAAGCGCTGACAATTCTAAAGGGTAGCTTATTACATATATTAGCTCTACGACTAAAGTTACCAAAACGCCCTCTCAAAAACGTATACATGTAAACATAAATATATATATATAAACATACCACTATCAAGTGCAAGTGGGCGAAGTATCAACATCACATACTAGCGATAAAAAGATTATAATATAACCAATCATAAATGCATTGAGATTGCGTAGAACAAAACAAGAAACGAAAATAATAATAACAAATATGAATAGAGCGGATGCAAAAAGTAAAAAAAAATACTTGGAGGAAGGTAACTATGCAAAAAAAAAAAAAAGCGTTAGGAAAATTATTTTATGCTCTCAATCACCCGTGGTAGGTTAGCTTGAGGCGTTGTTGGATCAAACCCCTATTCCTTACTCCTTTTAATTATCTTTCTTCAGTAGTTTGCATAACTACGCTTTGACATTTGATAGAAGAAACAGGACATCTCGAACCCCTTTTTTACTGTTACTTCGTAGATATTTTCATCTAAGTTTTATATCTTGCAGCTGTTATAGAAGATATAAATTGGTCTTTTTGGTTTGACTTTTTCTTGCGTTATTTGATTTCATTAATGACTGATAATATATATATATAAATGAAACAATATTAATCATTTTCCTAGGCAAATATATTTGATTTCTTATATATGTGTAGTGAATAGTTTATATTCTATACCATTATCGGAGATGTTTTCATTGTTAAAAAATTATCCACTACGGTTTGATTGTTTTTTCAGAAATTTTGAGCAAAGCTACGCAAAAGGTTAATTGCGCATGACCGTTCCTATTTTTCAATTGATATAATAGAGAGAAGGCAGCTGGTTAGTCAATAGCACCCACCGTCGACTTTTTTATATCCGACTAAAAAGTGGTATTTTACTGCAACTCTTATAACGCTCCCACGGCCTCAAACTGCGGAAAATGTTTTTGCGAGCCACGAATCCCTGAATTTAAAGTTCGAACACGTTAATCACTAAGTTAACCACGCCCGCCTCACCACTATGGTTGAGCCTATGTAA